AATTGAAAAAACATCTTCTCTTATGGGTAAGATATTTTCAGATGTTTATATTGTAAATTTCAAGGTGTTTTTTTTTTAAACATTAGAACGAAAATAATGTAAAGCTTCTCTTCATCTAATAGTGTATGATCGTAAGATGAAATAAGATTTCATTAACAAAAAATACGAAACTATTTCATTTCGATACAAATCTTTTATGTTATAATACGAAAACTTATTAAGTTTCATTTAAAATTTAAATGATTTTGTATTTTAAATATCGAATCCTTTTTCGATCAACATATGTTTAAAATGTTTCGTAACAAAAGTTTCAAGAGTATACTGTAATGAAGCATCATTTTAGGTTTCATAGTCCTTGCCGGACTTAACAAAGGTTACTGCTGAGATATTAGTAGGCGATATTATCTATTTTTTGTTTTTTGTGTGTTACGAAATAGTACTTCTATTAAGTAGAAGTCTTTTTCTAGAAATCGGAATCTATCCACTATTTCAATGATCAGCGACTTTTTTAATATAACGTTTCCTTTCTGAAAAGAATTTCTTTTGAGATAAAATTAAAATTTTTGAAAATATAGTTGAAAGACTTATGATATTGACTATTTATTCTTTATTTAATGTTTGATAGTAAGTAAGAAATATATAAAACATTCAATTATTTATCATTACCATCCAAAATTATTGATTAGCAAGGGAATAGCAGAGGTTCGTCCTTATCAAAAGGTCGGACTTGTTGTAAAACATTTACTACAGTCTAGACAGAAATTGAATCTAAGCTCTGTTTTTGACAGATATCCATATGAAGACACTTTTTGTCTGATTGTTAGCCTTATTCATAGTAATTCGGTGCTCGATTACTGTCTTGTTTCCATATTAACCAACAAACATGAATTGTCAATGTCATTCCGCTTTCAACTAAATTTACAAAAATTTTAACTTTTTCTACTCAAATTCTTTTCAATTTACGAAATGTTACATTGTCAAAAACTTCAAACTTGTAAAATTTTGATAGATTCAATTAAAATTCAAAATTCTCTAGTCAATACACTAAAATTTCTAATACAATGTGAAAAAAATAATAACCTGATTGTTATAGATAACAAACAAGATAATGATGCTTTTCAACTTAGTTGATAGAGTCAAATTCAAATGTATCATTTTCTTGTTTTTTTCATCTATTATAATCACTTTAGTTTTTACAGATGTTTTAATAAAATCTTCTTTATCAAAATATAATCTTTATCAAGTAAAGAAATTATAGTTATTCAATCAATAAATTGCATTACTCTAACAAATCATTGATAGTTTAACAGAACAAACAATTAACAACTATGTAATCAAGGATATTCCTATTAAATAGCATCATTAAAAACATATGCTTTCAAATTTTTCATGAATTGTACTATTAAAAATGAAGTTTTTCATCTTCATAAAATTGTTATTCTTTACACTCATATCCTATACTCGCAAGTTATAATACTTTAATATAAATAATTTTTCTTTCTTTTCTTATGTTTATAATATATTTCAAAGAAATGAAAAAAAAAAAAAAACCGGAATATGTTTTTTAATGATATATGTAAAACATACCCTTTGAGTAATTTATAAAGCATACAACCGAATGAAAACCAATCCGCACTTGAATCATAAGCAACACCTTTAGCTAAAACTTCTGGTGCCATATAACCATGTGTACCAACACTTGCATGTGGTTTTTTCTTTGAAAAATCACAAGCTAAACCCAAATCTGATATACGAACATGACCATGTTCATCAAGTAAAATATTTGCTGGCTATTTTATTTAATAAAATTAAACTAAAAAAAAAAAAAAACTAAGAACTTAAATCTTACTTTAAGATCACGATAAACAATTGATCTAAGATGCATATGTTCTAATCCTAAAATAATTTCAGCTGCATAAAATTTTACTTCTTTTTCTGAAAAAACTCCATGTTGAGATAAATGATAATGAAGATCACCACCTTAAATTTATAAAATTAATATAAAAGTTGCTTTTTTTTTTTTTAAATAATTTTTACCATTCATAAGATCAAGAATAAAACAGAGTTTATCTGTTGTATGAAATGCATATGTCATACAGACAATAAATGGACAACCTTCTTCCTATAAAAACAAATTATTGAAAATATATATATTCAAATAAAATAAATAAACATACTCCTGTGCTGACAAGTGAAAGCATAATACGTTCATTCAATGCTAATGTTTCACCTTGTTTCATTTTAATACGTTTTTTATCAAGACATTTCATTGCATACCTTTCAAATATATATATGCGGAAATAAATAAAGTTAAAATATTATTAATTTACATTTTTCCTGTATCTGCTTTTCTACAACCATATACTTCTCCAAAACCACCACGACCAATAATTCTGTGTACACTAAAATCATTCATTGTTAACTAAAAAAACAAAATTTTTTTCTTTTTTTATTATTCATTAAATAAAATTTGATTAATTAATATAAACCTGAATATTAAGTTCAAAATTTTTCCATTGACAAAATCTTGTATATTTTTCTGATTCAATAAATTTATCAAAAAGTCTTCCACGTAATAAATCACATATTTCTTTTTTATATGGTTCAAATAAAGTTGATGGTAAACTATTTTTTGGATTATTTGGATTATATTTTGATAAATGTTTTTTAACACTATCAATAGCTCGTTCAGAATATGTCTTTAAATAAACAAAAAATAAATATTTTAAATATACAAAAATGACTAAATTTACATGAGAATTCGAAAGTAATTCTTTCATTATAAATTGATCATAAATTTCTTTTCCAACTTTCCATCGTTCTTCATCGGTTTCAAGTTTTTCAAATCGTTTTATCTATTCATTTAGTTTTTTTTTTTAAATGTAAAAAAAAAAAATTTCATTTTAATTTATTTTAAATTTCAAATACCTCTTCGTAGAATTTTAATTGAGGCACAGGTTCATCACATAATGTTGAACAATATTCTTTGAACAAAAGAAATCCTAAACAAAATAATAATAATCTATTATTTTTCAGTTGATCTTCTAAACTCTTCGCGTGTCAACCATTTAACACTCACAAAATAATTCCCCTAAGGGATTTGACGCGTGTGAGTTTAGAGAACAAAAAAAAAAAGAAATCATTATCAACAACACTATTACCACCTGAAAGAAATGAAGACCAGAGGGGTTTACAATAGATGATACTTTTATGATCTCTTCACTTATTAAAAAAAGAGAAAGTACTATTTTCGAGAATAGAACAAAACAAAAAACACGATCAATGTCTCTCTCTCTCTCTCGTTTTACTATACGAAAGATTCATTTACTAAACAAAGTGAGAAGAAAGAACAAATAATCTATCAATATTATACAATTATCAATTTTACTTTTGTCTTGGCTTTTTTTTTTCTTTCTGTAAGAATATAACAGAATTAAATTAGACAAATAGAAAAAAAAAAAAGAATTAGTTCTTATATTGACCGATCGCATAACATATTTTTTTCTTCAAATAATATTCTCGTAATGATAAGGAAAATAAAAATATGTTTTTCTTTTTTTTGTTGATCTTTACAGATTTGTATAAAAACCAAACAAAAGAAATTCAAATATCAAAATGACATACCGATTTGTTGATTAAATATTTTGTCAAATGTATTTTCATACATTTTTTGTAAATGTTTATGTGTAACACTTCGTACTCTATTAAAAAATGTATCAAAAGAAGAAATATAAATATAAAGAATAGTTTTTTTTAATGAAAATAAATTTACGTTCGATCGGGTAAAACAATTTTTTTACTAGCTGAAGCGGCTGGTGTAGATTTGGATTTTTCCATTGCCATTAAATAGGAAACATCGGCTAATACAGCTTCTAGATCTGCCATGATTATTTTAATTCTTTGTTATAATATAATTAATAGACACAAATTAAAACAAAAAAAAAAACAAATTGCTAATTAATTCTCTAATTTCTTTCGTTTTGTTTTTATTTAATTCATTCTCTATAAAGAATTGTTTTTCCTATGTATTGATTGTTTAATAATTTTCATAACTTAAATATTTAATAATAACATTGACGATAATTGATTGACATAAAAGATTTCATTAGATAAACTAAAAGAAAAAAAAATAAACAAATTTCTTTTTTTTTTCTGTTTTTTTTTTATCAATATTCTTTGTTTCGGATAATCATTTGTTGTCTAGATAGATGTCTTGATGATTTTTCGGCTGACTGAGAACGCCATTAACAGATACAAATAACCTTCATGTATATTTTTGCGACTTTAATCAAATGAAGTGTTTTTATTTTTTTTAAAGGTTTTCTAAAGAAAATTTATTCATTAAATAGAAGAATTAAGTAAATTAACAAATGTATATATATACATGTTCTGATAATAGATGGCGTTAGTAATTTTATTTATTTATTTCTAATAACGTATTACTTGAATTTATTTGTAGCGAATTTTCTATATGTAAAAAAATCGCGTTGACACTATAATTATGTTCTTTCATACTCACACAGTACTGTGATGTGTGTTGATTATACTAATCAACATGAGGATTATAATTTATGTGCACCACGTCGTATTAACAATAGAATAAAAATGAAAAAGTCAAAAATTATTTTCCTATTTATTTTCATTTTGTAATATTTAATCTTTCTAATGACATTTATGTCAAAATGAATCCTCTCTTTTTCTGCACTCTATAACCACTGTGAGATATATTGAACTTGTGAACTTTTTCTCTTTTATTTCATTGTAAATTTATTGAAAAACAAATATTGATAATAAATCTCTAAATACGAAATCGTTTTTATTACATATCTAATATACATAAACATGTTTTCAGAATATCAAGGGTAAAAGAGTTCGATGAAAAGAAAATACTTACTATTTATTTATAACTGCATAAACAATATGTTGATATGTTTGTATCGATAAATTAAATGGCATTGAGTCATAACTTGAATTATCTAGAGTATATATACATATTTTAGATGATTTCTAATCAAATCTTTCGTTCTTCATCGATGTTAAGTCGTATTTACTTTTATCGAGTACGTATTATTAATTTATTCAATGGAAAATATTATCTAGTATTTTAGTTTGTTCCTGTTCTTATTCGTTCTGCTTCTATATCAACAAATGAGACCTCATCAAGTCAAAGTAAATTCTTTTTCATTATTATACGATCAATTAGTATTGTTTTCTTTAAAGACAAATCACCAAGTAAAGGACAAACTGATGTAAAATATTATGCTGCTGATATGTATAATTATACAACATTTAGTTATTATGATATTGAATCATCAATGACTAAATATCGTCTTCCTCAACCATCATCAAAACCCGAATCAAATCCACAAAAGAAATAGACTTTGTATTTTTCTTTTGTTGAATTTAAGAAAAAAAAAAATGATCCGTTTTTCCTTAGAAAAGTAAATAATGAAAAAACAAATCGTTTCCCTTTCTTATTGTAGATGTTATTAATCTTATTAATATTTTTCATTTTATTCATATTACTTATATCTCCATTTATTTTAATTCGTTTAATATCTTCAACAAATAATAATGAATATAATGGAAATTATCTTTTAGTTATAGCACATCCAGATGATGAATGTTTATTTTTTTCACCTATTTTATTATCTATTCATTCCAATAAATATATATTATGTCTTTCAAATGGAAATAATCAACGATCCGATGAATTACGTCGTTCATGTATTAAACTTCGTATTAATGATTATAAAATAATTGATGATCACATTAATTTAAAAGATAGTCAATCAGTTTCATGGTCTTCTGATGCAATATTAGGTCATGTTAAACACGCAATACATCAATGGAATATTTCAACAATAATTTCATTTGATTATTATGGTATAAGTGGTCATAAAAATCATTCAGCTATTTATTATGCTCTATTAAAATTATCTCAAACAAGTCAAATACATTTTCTTTCACTTCAATCATTACCTATCTATAGAAAATATTTTACTTTCATAGAATTATTTCGAATTTATTTAAAAAGAAAATCTACAAACATGAAAATATATGTTTTACCAGTAAAAGATTGTTTCACACCACATCAAGCTATGTTCGAACATAGATCACAACTTGTTTGGTTTCGTTATTTATATTTACTTTTTTCTCGTTATATTTGGATTAATGATTTTACATTAGTTTATTAAATAAACTATACATTGCCGTTTTTTTTTTAATATGATAATGACTCTTGTGTCAAAAAAAAAGAAAAAACTTCATCATGAATAGTTTCAATATACTTACAGTTCTGATAATGTTAAATGCATTTTTATAAACTAGATCACATAAAAGACTTTATCGCATAAATAAACAATAGACTATTTTGTCTATAATGATATATATGTAATAAATCTATTTTTGATTGAGTTTCTAATATTCTTTCAGATAAAAAATCGATTCGAAGACAAAAAATTTGAAAAATGGATAATGAATTTCATCGAAGCTATATTAAAATTCGAACTTTTTTTTAGGAATAAATGCAGAGACAATTCACAAAGAACTTACAACTGCATTAGGATCTAATGCACCATCATATGCCACAGTTGCAAGATGGGCAAAGCATTTTCATGAAGGAAGAGAAAATATTAATGATGATTCTCAATTTGGTCGTCCAATTTCCAAGTTAACAGATGTAAATATTGAACTAGTACGACAGGTTATTAACAATGATCCACATTCAACTTATAATGATATTATAGCTAAGACTGCTCTCTCTCGTGGTACAATAGAACGAATCATCCATGATTATCTAAAGATGAGAAAAGTTAAATCATGTTGGGTACCTCATCAACTCAATGATGAACAAAAGCAAAATTGAGTTACAATTCATCGTCAAAATTTTCATGATGAATCATAGAGTAGTTTACGTAAACTTATTACAAATGATGAAACATGAATTATTGTTTGTTGAAACAGATATGAACAAAAAAAAAACTTGATTTTCTGTATTTTCTAAATCAAATGGTTCTATCCTGCATATATATATTGTAGATAGAGGCAAAATTATAGATCACAGCTATTACGTTGAATATTGTCTTAAGCCTGTTGTCAATGAAATATTAACGTAAAGTTAGTCCTCAGATGCAAAAGTTATAAAATTACTTTACGACAAAGCTTGACATCAGATATATCCTTATGTTATTCGTTACTTAACACAAGAAGTTATCAATATAATGCTGCATTCATCGTTTTGACTATATCTTGCATCGTATAATTTTTGGCTCATGTGATTTTCAATATAATTAAAAAAAAGAAGACTTTCTAAAATTCTATAAAATTTAATTACAAATATCTTTTTATTCTTATATTTCTATTTAATGTTGTCAGACCTTTTGGTCAACTATAAGTCGGTATCCAAGACGAAGTATTGTTTACGAAGAAATACAAATAGAATATGGAGCTATATAATAGGACTACTTACCGTCGTTTACAAGTGTGCTTGTTAGGTCTGTGTACACTTGCAAATAAAATTTCGAGGTATAAAATTAATCAAGCATTTTCTCTAGCACGTACTTTGACTAATAATTATAGTTATCTAGACGTGATCGATTTGTTTCAAGATTTTGTCTTCAAAGTATGATTGTAAAACATCTTTGGTTAAAAGATCACCATCCTAATGGCTATGTGTCATGCAGTAATGAATTACTGTTCTATTAATGAAATTTATCAATGAGATAGAATACTGAACCTGTTGAATAAAATGGATAGAAAATAGTTTTGGTACGTTTTGATATAAGATAATAAGAAAAACAAAGTATTATCCAAATTCTTCTGTGATATTGAATACCCAACTCGAATTTAGATTGTGATTTAAGGAGCTAATAAAGTTTTTTGTAAGAGGTACTAATGTTAAGATTTTACCGATTGACTATGTGAGTAAATTTTCTAGAAAAAAATTGAATATAGTGGGTTGTTGATTCCAGAAGGTACAAAACGGACTCTTATAACGTCTCTTGGGATCTAAGAATTACTCAGTTTGATTTGTTTTTTAGAAAAGATTATTGTCTATCCATATTACTAGTTAGATTTAAACTATATAATCAGCGTAACGTAAAAAAAAGTCAATAATATCTTGTCCTGATAATTCAAGTTTTATCAGTATGGTATTATAGAATGTTCTACTAATGGTTTTGATGTTTTAATCATTAGCTAATGATCTTTGTTTTCTCGTTGTGCTGCTAAACTCTTTTAGGAAATTCTTGATATAATATTGTTGATTCAATGTTGATGTTCTCTTTGCATATTTGTCTCTTCTTATTGAGAATATTTGACTAATTGCCTCTAGAATACATAAAAAATATGGTTATGAAACTAATTTATTGCATCAAGCTGTTGTTGATGGAGATTTTTTATTGGAAATATTTCTGTTTCAAAGAATTTACATTTAGTTTTATGCAATATACCTTAAAAGTTAATATCTATTATTACTTGATATATTGGTTATATTTCTTTAATTGATCGTATTAAACAAAATTTAATAAATAAAAAAAAGTTCCTAATTGTTGTAACCACGATATTGATGTTGTTGATGAAAGATAATTCCAAAAATACTTTCAACATATGTCATTAGTCTATTACGAGGTTTTTATTTACAAAGATCAGTTGTGTTAATAAGCTTAAAGTAAATTATCGAAACCTTCAATGATACGTCCATAAATATATATATTTAATCTTACAAAAAAAATCATGTCAAATGAGAACTTTCTATGATTATGAGACTAATTTCATTGTATTCGCTTAAAGCTATGAAACCAAGCGAGCAGAAATGCAGAATCTGTCATTGAAACAAAAAAATTCTGCAAAAATTTTCTAATATGTAAAAATAAAAAAAAAGGTTGATTGATCTTTTTAACTATTATATTCGAAACAAGATTTAAAAAAAGGAACAAACTGAACACACATATAGGTTTATAAAAAGAAAAATAACAGTAAAACCTCTCTCTAGTGAACATCATGGAAACCATTAAAAAATGTTTACTACATGAGAGTATTCATTTTAGAGAGTTACCGTTTGATTTGCTGTAAAATGAAAAAAACTGTTGTGGATATCTGCATCTATATTAATGTAAAATTAAGTTCAAATATTTTATTTTCTTATGTCGTCTAAATGATTTTAACTGAAAGACTTTTCAAATTAGGGTGTGTACTTCATCATGGTCAAAAAATCTAATTGCATATTTCATCGCATTCTAAAGGTACGAAAAAGTTATCGTTGAGAACTTCTAAACCATAATTATTTAAGCTCATTTAGTTCATTATTACTTTACTGATATCTTCGCACAAATTGATGCAGTTTACACATATAACACTGCATGTGATTGAAGGTGCGATTATTAAAGTGAACATGTTCTCTGCTTGATAGTAGACCTGAAATATCAAAGAAATTCGAGACGATATCCTTGATATACTTTTGAAGTAAGAAATTTTCGCTTTTTTCCTCCTCATCATAGTATACATAACATAAGTAATAGACAGATGATAGAATTAAAGAAAAACATTACATGTCTATTCAGATTAGAGAGTAGATCATGACAAGAGAACCAGAAAAAAAGAAGGAACTGTTTTATTTAATGTATATCGACGAAGTTCTTCCTCGTCATTTATTTCCATAATTTTTGAATTAAAAAGAGTTTTTTTAGAAAACTAAAATGATATTGAAGACGTAGGATGACATGTTTAGGACTTTAAAGATTCAGAAATCACGCTCACCTCAGTTGTTTAAAACTTTTAGCTCAAAATCCTGTAAACTAGACATAGTTTTTATGTAAATATACTTGCAATTTTTTTGAAAAATCAATTAATTAACAGCGAAGAAGTTCTTTTATTATGTCTGACGCATTATTCCTTCCAAGAAATCTTCTCCATTGCGAGCAGGCTTAATAGATTGTAGAAACTTTGTACAATGTTTTTTTTTCTTCCAAATTCCGAACTGAACAAATTATCTTGTCGACAATGATTTTCTAGAATCTCACGCTTTAATAAACATGTTTAGATTCTGTAGCTTGCCAAAAAATTTTCCCAATCATTCACAGTTATTCATTCATACTATACTTCGATTATAGATACAAAATTTTTTTTCAAATGTTTCTTTGTCTAATTAGTCACAAGATCGAATATTTATCAATTGAAATAAATTTCTCTGATTATTTATCAGAAAAACATAGACTATTGCAAAGTACACATTCCTATTCGTCTTTCTTTTTTCTATCAATCACATGAAAAATGTGTTATTTAGAGACACGCTCTTGTACAAAATATTGCTCGATTTTAATAACGAATGAAGGTGAGAAAAAAAAGCGAAAGAAGAAGAAAAACAACGGCTAAATATTTACGGATGAGAGATTTTTCCTTTTCTTTTGTTTCATCGTTGAAGACCATTTTATTATTGACCTGTCATAGTAATCTACGTGTAGCCAATATATAAATGCACTTGTCGTACTTTATTATTGGTTTTTAAATAAAAATAAAATGGCAAATAATAATAATAATAATGGAGAACAAGCAGAAAATAAAAATTCAAAAAAAATGGTATTTATCACATCAATTGATGATGATAATCATAATATTCTTTCATGTTTGAATTCAAAAAATGTTGAAGCAATTGTTGTTAATTTAAATAATACAAATCTAATGAATGGATATCAAATTAATAATGAAATTCCTAAACAATCTTTATCTCAATCGGTATAATTTTTATTAAAATATGATTCAACTATATAATAGTTTGTTTGATTTTTAGGAAAAACAAATATCATCAATCGATGTTTCGAAAAATACAAATACAAAAAAGCGTAAAGCTGATTTAACATGTGTTATTTGTGAAGGTCAAGCTATTGGTTATAATTTTGATCAAATATCATGTGAATCTTGCAAAGGTTTGTGACTTAATATATTTTTTTTCCTAGAGAAATATTTATTTTATTTTAGCATTTTTTCGTCGAAATGCTTTTCATCCAATTGTAAATAGTTTTTTTTCATCTGATTTTATTTAATAATTAACATATATATTATGATTATAGGAAAAAACAAAATGTATCAACTATAATGATAATGTCTTTGAAGTTCGATGTAATATTCGATATGATATTAAATATAAATGTCAACGTTGCCGATTACTTAAATGTTTTCGAGAAGGTATTGCAAATATTTGCTGTTGTAGCCTGTGTGTTTTAGACTATATTTTGATGAATATCAAAGATTTTTTTAATACACAGAAAGAACTGGAAATTAAAAAGTATGGAAAAAAAACATGTTCATATTTAATCTTTTCAAGCCGAGGATAGTTTTTTTGATGATGAAAAAAAACATAAAGTTTCTAGACAGTCGTTATGATCTTATTAATAGTATATTGTTAGAGAGATTAAAATAATTGATTTTAAAAAGTGTTAAATAAATGAATAAATCAAAATAATAAGAATTTTTGTAGTTCATGTCCGAGCTCTGAAATTTTATCATTTCAAAAATATTTGCATTTAGATTTACTATTCTATCAATTTATTTTTCATTTCCTTAGTTGAATCATCGTATCAGCTTGCTATACACATTGGTGTAATCACTCAGCATCCATATCGTCAAATTTTCATCAAAGTCGACGGTTTACTCCCTTCTTTTTTATCAAGTTCGCATAATCAATTTCAATCTTAAAAAGTCGATTTTTATACGCCAGGCTATATAGTGTCAGATAGTGCTACACTTTAACATTTTACTAAGAGTTTAAAATCATTCATACACTAAGATATAAAAGAATTGAATCAAGCAGAAGAACCGTAGCTTGAGCGACATAAGGTACAATTCTGAACAATAGATCCTTTTTCTCGA